ACTTCAACTCCAGCGAGTTTGGGGGCCGAGCACGTGGGAGGGACCCTGGGACCGGACGTTTCTCACGTAGGAAGGGAGGAAGGGCGATCCGAGAGGAAGTAGCCGGGAGGGGGTGTGCCGAGCCTCTTCGCTCCAGCTCGCCCTCTGTGGACCTTACCAGCAACCTGGGGCCACTTCAAAATGTGGGCCCCCCCGTGTGTCGCATGTGGAAGGAGGTGCTTCAGACTGGCTTCCATGAGGCCCTGCAGACCCTGCGGGAGTAGCCCTAAGCCTCCAGCCTGGTCCCCGTACAGAGCGGAGACAGGCCCAGAGAGGGCTAGCGGTCTGCTCAAGGTCACACAGCCGGTGCTTGCTGGGGCTTCCACGGGACCCAGGAGGCCTCCCGGCTCTCAGCCAGGGGTTCTTTGCACCCCACCCCGCAGCTTGGCAAGTGAGTGGGTACAGCACACCTGAGGTTACCCCCAAATGGGAAGGCGTCGGATGGAGCTCCTGATTCTGTTTTCCTTTTGAGCTCGCGGCTCCCCTGTGCCCACAGCTGGGCGCCCACGTGGAGGGCAGAGTCCAGGTGTGCTCTCTGCGCTGGTCCCGCCCCTGCAAATCCAGGGGGCAGGGCCTAAGCCCCCAAGGCCAGCTCAGCGCTCAGAGGCTCTTCCGAGACACTGCCATTCCTTTCCTGTTGAGCCTGGAGGTCGCGCTCCTGTCTGTCCCAGGACCCACATTCCTCCGGACTTTCGTAAGAGAGGGGCCTCATCCCTCCGTCCCTCCGTCAGCTGGCGGGAGCTTTGCATACCCTTTGTGTCTCCTGCCAGGCTCTGGAGCTGGTGACGGTGATGGTGGGCAGCCCCCGGGCAGACGGCCTCGTCTCCCTCCTCACCACCTCTGAGGGCGCTGACGAGCCCAGGCGGCTGCAGTTTCCCTTGCCCACAGCCCAGCGGTCCCTGGAGCCTGGGACCCCCCGATGGGCCAACTATGTCAAGGGAGTGATTCAGCACTACCCAGGTATGGGCCCGGGCCTGGGTCAAGTTCAGCAGCCAAAAGCACCACCTCTGTCATAAAACCTATTAGCGCACCTAGTCCACTGTGGGGTAGGCTTGCAGGATAGAGCATCCCATTGTACAGATGAAGAAACTGACACCCTGAGCGGGTCCAGACCTTGCCCTGGGTTGCCCATTACCTGATTGGAGGAGTCAGGAGTCAAACCCTAACCTGTGGCCTCCGGAGCCCTAGACCAGGAGGACTGGGAAGACTGTGTCCCAGGAACCTCAGGGTGGAAGGATGGAGGGCCGTGGGCCCCTTGGCCCAGCAGGTGGGTGGCCTTGGACAATTGAGACCCATTCCTGGAAGCAGGCACCAGGCAGTTGCCTCACGTCATACCGAGATACAGTACGTGCCTCCCTGTGCCTGTCCTCCCAGGCGGCGCAACTGACCCTCACCCACTGTTTCCCCCGCAGCCGCCCCCCTCCCTGGCTTCAGTGCGGTGGTGGTCAGCTCAGTGCCTCTGGGGGGTGGGCTGTCCAGCTCGGCCGCCCTGGAAGTGGCCACGTACACCTTCCTGCAGCAGCTCTGCCCAGGTACCTCCCAGAACCCAGCTCCCACCCAGCCTGCCCTCCCCGAGCCCTCCTGTGGTCGGCTTCTTCTGTGGCTCTCAGAGGGGGCGGGAACCCACCTGCCCCTCGTGCCCCCTCTCGGGCCCCAGCCTCCCCATCTCACCCTGCGCCACAGACTCGGGGACAATAGCTGCCCGGGCCCAGGTGTGCCAGCGGGCCGAACACAGCTTCGCAGGCGTGCCCTGCGGCATTATGGACCAACTCATCGCTCTGCTGGCGCAGAGGGACCACGCGCTGCTCATCGACTGCAGGTTAGGGGCTCCCCTTGCACCCCCCCACTTCTGGGCAGAGCACGTCCACTGCGGGGCCTGGCGGGCAGACACTTGGCCTTGTCATCTCCCCACTCCACCTGCCTCCCAGGTCCCTGGAGACACGCCTGGTGCCACTGTCAGACCCCAGGCTGGCTGTGCTCATCACCAACTCCAACGTCCGCCACTCACTGGGCTCCAGCGAGTACCCGCTGCGGCGCCGCCAGTGTGAGGAAGTGGCCCGGGCGTTGGGCAAGGAGAGCCTCCGGGAGGTGCAGATGGAGGAGCTGGAGGGTGAGAGCTGGCGGGGTGCGGTCTGTCCTGGAGATAGCGGGGCCCCCTGCCGGGGCTGCCGGGGCCTCATCCCCAGGACCCCGGCCATGCCTGCCCACTCCCCGAACACTGTTAACTTCGGGCTCCAACCCCAGCAGGGCTGCTTGCAATCTTAGTACCGTTGTGCCTAATGGGAGGCCTGTGGACAAGTACAAAGAATAAGCACTAAGGCCACTACCGGGAGATAGTATATTTCCTTCCGGTGTTTTTCTACATCTATATCTTCCAAGTGGAATCCCCCTTTGAAAAATGTTTTCAAAGCTGAATATTGTCACCCTCTCCCTTTAAAAAAAATGTAACATTATTCTATGCCATGAAAGGCCCATCAACATGGCTTTTATAAGCTATGTAATATTCCGGCATCCAGGTACATGGTAATTTACTTAATCACTTTTTTTAAAACTTTTTTTAAAATGTATTTTTATTGATTTCAGAGAGGAAGGGAAAGGGAGAGATGGAAACATCAACAATGAGCCTGGCCAGTGTGGCTCAGTGGTTGAGCGACAAACTATGAACCAGGAGGTCACGGTTCGATTCCTGGTCAGGGCACATGCCCAGGTTGCAGCCTCAATCCCCAGTAGAGGTGTGCAGGAGGCAGCTGATCAATGATTCTCTCTCATCATTGATGTTTCTATCTCTCTTTCCCTCTCCCTGTCTCTCTGAAATCAATAAAAATATATTTTAAAAAAAACAAAACTAAAAACATCAACAATGAGAGAGAATCATTGATTGGCTGTCTCTTGCATGCCCCCTACTGGGGGTCGAGCCTGCAACTCGGCATGTGCCCTTGACCGGAATCGAACCTGGGGACCCTTCAGTCCTCAGGCCAAAGCTCTATCCACTGAGCCAAACCAGCCAGGGCTTTAACCACGGTTTGATAATTACACCTGTGATGATCAACACTGTGATGAGCGTTTTAGCCATGTCTTCCTCTGCATTCTCCTATTCTTAGGATTAGATTCCTAGGAGTAGGCTCACCGAGTGAGAAGTTTTCAGGTTCTGATACACATGGGCCAGGAAGGTAGTCGATTTAAGTAGCAAGGGGCCCTGGTGCTCGGGGCTGCGGCTTGCCCTCTCCCCTCAGTGTGTGTGTGTGTGTGTGTGTGTGTGTGTGTGTGTGTGTAAGTGTAAGCCTGCTAGTTCCTGGTGTGCCCTGTGCCCTTGCCTGTGCCCCTCCCGTCCCCACCTCTGGAGCCCAGCCCTCGGAGGCTCCGTGTGGTGCCCTCCTGTTCTCCCTCCCGCGGCCTCCAGGAGGCAGCATTGCGTCCCACTCACCTTGGACGCCCAGGTCTGGGACTTTAACTGCTGGATATGAGCACCCACTGTGTGCCAGGCGCCCTGCCGGGAGCTCTGCAGGTGTCAGCCCACCTGGTCCTGGGCGCCCCGAATCGGGTGGGTGCCCCACTACACAGCTGAGGGGAGGCGCTGGGAACTGAGTGACCAGCCCAAGGTTCTACCACGGCCTGGCCAGAGCCAGGCCTCCCACCGGAGGCTCCCCCACCCCCTGGAGCCATGGTGCCGTCCCCCACATCCGCAGGGGCCCTCGCCAGTGGGTGGCGGTCTGCTGACCCCTTTCCTCTCCAGCGGGCAGAGATCTGGTGAGCAAGGAGGGCTTCCGGCGGGCGCGGCATGTCGTGGGGGAGATCAGGCGCACGGTCCAGGCAGCGGCTGCCCTCAGCCGGGGCGACTACAGAGCCTTCGGCGCCTCATGGTGGAGAGTCACCACTCCCTCAGGGATGACTACGAGGTGAGCTGCCCGGAGCTGGACCAGCTGGTGCAGCCCGCGCTGTCTGCGCCCGGGGTTTATGGCAGCCGCATGATGGGTGGTGGCTTTGGTGGCTGCACGGTGACTTTGCTCGAGGCTTCCGCTGCTCCCCAAGCCATGCAGCACATCCAGGCGCAGTATAGCGGTACCGCCACCTTCTACCTCTCCCAGGCCGCCGACGGTGCCCAGGTGCTGCCCTTGTGAGCTCCCCTGGGGTGGCCCACGCGGGCAGGGCCTGCCGGGCAGCAAGCAGGAAGCTCCGTGCCGCTGGCGCCTGCCCTCCGCACCTGAGCGCTCAATAAACTTGTGCCTCAGAAAAAAAAAAAAAATTAGACATATGAAAGAAGGTGAAGGGATTAGCCAAAAAAACCTATACCGGGGTGGGCAAAAGTAGTTTAGAGTTGTGAGTACATGAAACACAAAGTTTATAAAGTTATTGTCATAATAATAACTTGAATGTCTTTTCCATACAAACTACTGTAAGCCTACTTTTCTCCATCCCTGTAGGTAAAACATAGATACAAAACAGTGTGGTGATAGCGAGAGGAAAAGGAGGTTAGGGGCTAGGTGGAGGTGGGCAAAGGAGGTGGATGGAGATGGAAAGAAACTTTGCCTGGGGCAATGAACGCCTGCTGCAGTGTGCAGATGATGTTTTATTGAGTTGTATACTTGAAACGGGGTTTATAGCCGCATGACGGGTGGCGGCTTTGGCGGCTGCACGGTGACTTTGCTCGAGGCTTCCGCTGCTCCCCAGGCCATGCAGCACATCCAGGTGGGTGGACGCTGGGGCTGGGGCGAGGCGGGAAGCAGGTTCCCAGGGCCCCGCCGAGCTCAGGCCTCTGCCTCTCCCACAGGCACAGTATAGCGGTACCGCCACCTTCTACCTCTCCCAGGCCGCCGACGGTGCCCAGGTGCTGCCCTTGTGAGCTCCCCTGGGGTGGCCCACGCGGGCAGGGCCTGCCGGGCAGCAAGCAGGAAGCTCCGTGCCGCTGGCGCCTGCCCTCCGCACCTGAGCGCTCAATAAACTTGTGCCTCAGACCACAGGACCTCTAGAGGTGGTGTGTGCTTGGCCAGCAGAGAAGGGGGTGTCCGACCCGCTCCCCGGCTCTGGGCAGGCCCCCGAAGACTGGGCAGGGCGGAGCCACACGGTAGCAAACTCTTTTATTAAGTGCAGAACAAAGCTGGGTGCTTGTCATGCTGGTCCCGGCTCTTTGGTTACAAATGCGCTTGGGTGGGATGGGGGTGGGGCAGCCAGAAGGGCCTTCTGGGACCTCTGCCCCCTACATGCCCCCCAGAGGGCACCTACCCCCAGAGGCTCTGGTCCTGTGATCAGCATGCGGGCGGGTGGGGCCACCAGGGGTCCAAGGATGGTGTAGCTGAGGCAGCACCGGGGAGGGGGGGCAGTGGGGGCCCAGGTTCGAGGACGCCTGGTCGCGGTGGGGAGCTCAGGTCTGGAAGAACTGCTGGTCCACCTGGCTGCCGAGGGTCCCACTGGTGGTCAGCGTCTGGCTCACAAACTCCTGGGTCACGTGCCGGGTGAGGGAGCCGCCTGCCTCCAGGCCCCGGGGCCCCAGGGTCAGTCCGTCTGCAGGGGAAGAGGTGTTGAGCGACCTGTCTAGCTCCCTGCCCTCTTTGTCTGTTAGCTCTGTCTCCCCCAGGAGAGCCTGGGCCCCCACCCGGCCACTCACCCAGCAGGAAGGGCTCGGCGGTGCTGGTGTGGGTGGTGGTGATGCTGCTGTACTCGCCTGGCAGTGGGTGCTGGTAGAGCCCGGAGAGGACACCCAGCTGTGGGAAGGGGCCTGGAGTGGACAGATGAGCCCCTCAGGGGATGGTGCCAGAAGGTGCGGTCAGAGAAAGGATGGGGGTGCGAAGGGGCAAGGTGCCCTACCTCCATCCTGGGACTCAATGGTGATGATACCCTCACGCTCCGGCCCAAAGCCCTGAGTGGTCCTGGCCTGCACCTTGAACTTGTAGGGCACGTTCTCCCGGAGGCCCGGCACCGTCAGCCTGCTCTCAGTGCAGTCACCATCCACCTGGAATGTAATGGCTGGCTCTGGGCCGGGGAGAAGCCTTTAGCCTCCGTGGCTCCCTCTCCACCATCCCTTGGCCACCCCTGACCCTGGGGCGGGCAGCACCTCCTCCGTGGGCCATCTCACACGTGACCATGTAGCCCAGGATGTCTCCGTCAGGCCTGCGCGGCCGCTCCCAGCTCAGCTGCAGCGAGTCTGGGCTCAGGGCCGTGAACACCAGTGGGCCCGGGGCGCTGGGCGTGCTCAGGGTGAAGGCGGAGCCTGAGGCAGCAGAGGGAGAGGGTGGTGTGTGGATCTAGCACATCTGTAGAAGCAGGTGTGGGGGTGAGGGTGGAGGGGGAGCAGCTCACCTGGCAGGGGTAACAGCGGGCTCTGAGGGTGCACCTGTGACTCAATGGTGATGACACCCTCGCGCTCGGGGCCCCAGCCTTCCTGGCTCTGGGCCCGCACGCGGAACACGTAGGAGTGGTTGGGCAGAAGGTCTTCCACCACCACGGAAGTCTGCCCGGGGTTGGGGATGTTGAGCCGATGCAGCTCACCTGGAGTGGGGTGGGGTGGGAGCAGCTTTATTCCCACTCCTGGCCTGGTCTTCCCCCCGGGCTGCTGCCAAGACCTGGCCAGCACCCACCCAGGAGCAGCTGGTTGGGGCCAGCCTGCTATGGTCTCATGGGTCAGGTTGCCGCCACACAAGGGAAGAGGGGCCTGAACTGCTATGGCCCAGGTCATGCTGCTGAGAGGATGTCGGCCCAGAAAAGTGCCGGTTCCCACAAAGCCATCTAGGCCAGCAGAGGGCCTGGGTCCTGGGGCCAATGAGGCCTCGTTAGGCAACATCTTGCCCCGGGAGTAACCTGGGGAGCCCCCGGGAAGTGGTCGAGGGCCCAGAAGGGCACCGTGCGGGGCATGGAAGTGAGACCCTCTCAGGCTGGGTGGTGGATTCCTGCCACAGCCAAGTGCCCCTGGTGTCACATGTGGCCAGGCCTCACCGCCGTTCAGCAGCTGGTACTCCACGCTGTAGCCCTGCAGCGCCCGCTCGCACTGCGGCTCTTGCCAGCTCACTTTCAGAGACGTGGGCCCCAGGGCTGAGAACACCAGGCGGGTGGGGGTGTTGGGCAAACCTGCAGCCAAGCGGGAACCTGGAGACAGGAGGCCACAGTCAGCCTGGCTCAGGGTCCCCGGGCAGGAGTCCAAGTTCAGCTCCTGACCTCCCTCAGCTGTCGCACCTACACTGACTGCTGGCAAGGTGGCTCGCTCACCCGGCAACAGCCTGTCCAGGCCGCCCAGCACCTCCCGCCTGTCCTCAGGGTGGGTGTGGGCCCTGCCTGTGCCAAGCGCCGTGAGCCCCCACCCTCGGCTGTCCTGGCCCCTCTGCCCCAGCCCGGCACCCCTGGGAAGGCGAGGCGGTTAGGCATCAGCGCTGACGTGGATGGAATGGAGGGGATGCAGGGTCATGGGCAGTGACAGCACTGGTGTGGATGACAGATGGAGCAGGACAGCTGTGGAGACACGATGGCCACGCTGGACTACCTGGGCCCCAAGGGGGCGCTGCTGGCTGCGCAGCCAGGATTATAGAGTCTGGTGAGTCCCTGGAAGGGGGGAACCCCTTCATCTGAGCCCGACTCCAGGACCCCAAGGTCCAAGACAGCGGAAGCCTGCTCCTCCCGCCTTCCCAGATGGGAGGGAGGCCTAGGGTGGGACAAAACAGGAATGAGGGGGCAGGAAGTATGTGTGTGTTGGAGGATGGGCGGGGGGACAGCAGGCCGGCAGCCCAAACCTCCAGGAGCCGGAAGAAAGGAGGGGTCAGCCCGGCCGGCGTGGCTCAGTGGTTGAGCATCAACCTATGAACCAGGAGGTCACGGTTCGATTCCCGGTCAGGGCACGTGCCCGGGTTGCGGGCTTGATTCCCAGTGGGGGGCGTGCAGGAGGCAGCCGATCAGTGATTCTCTCTCATCATTGATGTTTCTATCTCTTTCTCCCTCTCCTCTAAAATCAATTAAAAATTTTTTTTAAATTTAAAATAATATATTTAAAAAAAAGAAAGACAGGAGGGGTCCGCGGGAGAGGCAGGGCTGGGGTGCACTCACTTTGCGAGGAGAGGGAGGTGAGGGTGGAGTAGTCCCTGGGCAGCGTGCCCGAGTGCTCCGTGCGGGTCAGCGAGTGGTAGTCCCTGGTGAGGGTGGAGGAGGTGCTGAGCACGCGGTGGGGCAGGTGCGGGCTCAGGTGGGTGCCGTAGGAGGCGTTGGTCGTGGCCATCCTGTGCAGGGAGTTGGCGCTGCCCGGGAAGGCAAAGTCCATCCGTCCATTGACCAGGTGCTCTGCAGGGGAGAACAGGGTCACCGGGGCAGGCCAGCACCGGGAAGCCCTGGGCGTTCCGGGTCTGCCTGTCCACTAGAGGCCCCCCTTGGCCCACGAGGGACAGAGGCCCGGTGTCCCTGGAGGAGTCCAAGGGGCCACACGGGCTTCTGCAGCCCGCGTTCTCCGGCCGGGCACCATGCCACTAGGACAGGCGCTGCCCAAATGCTGCCCTAGGGGTGCTTCGGCTCCGGGGGGAGGGGAGGAAGGTCTGCCTCCAGCCCTCGCTCAGCCCCTGGCAGGGGCGGGGCC